AATTATTTTTTCAAATTAAATATTCAAAATTTTAATGTTATAAAGTAAAAAATGGTAAAATAATATTTGTATCTATGCTGGAAAAAAAAAACTAGGAACATAAAAAGAAAATAAAAACTTGATTTCGTTCTAAAAAATTGCAAGTAATTGAGAACATGGTCCACAATTGAATCATGGGTCAATAAAAAATTACTGATACAGATTTTATGGGTGGCGGAAGTATTTTTTTCAAACCAAGGAAGGAAAAATTAGGTAATTTTGCTCTACTTCCCTCCATCAAAAGAGTCCAACTGAAGATTTATTTCAACTAAAGAGTCCAACTACGATATTTTCTTTTATTTTTTAAATTTTCAAAAAGTAAGATTTTATGTGTTCTCAATATATCTTGTAAAAAATATGAAAAAAAAATTATACTAAATGACAGAAAATAAATATGTATTTATAAAATTATCATATATTTTTTTTATTTTTCTAAAAGAAATTATACACGTGGCTCTTAGGTTGTCTCACATGATTATATAAGTTTGTAATTTATGCTATTTTTATAAAAAGAAAAATAAATTAAACCTAATGTTATATATAAATACATATTTTTGTAATGCTATTTTTATAATTTCTTCAAAATGAAAAGAAGAGAAATTAAGACAAGAATATGAGATAATATAATCTAAATGGATCTTGTAATTGTTTCGAATTTTTACTCTTCCGTAATATTTTCTTAAACTAGGCTATAAATGTTTAAATGAAAATAAAAATAAGAGTATAGGAATGTTCTGAAATGTCCCCGGCCCAAATACCAGCCCAAACAATCTCAAAACCGCTCACAATCAGCCCAAAACTGGCCCAACATTACGAGCCCAATTATGACACCAGTCCCAGTTTCATTTGTATATTTACGGAAATGTCGAAATATCTATTTTAGTCGCTATATTTTTAAAAAATAACCAAATTCTTGCAATTATTCTACAATCTAGTATATTAATCCTATTTGATACATGCTTCAATCGACCGATGTGGTTCTAAATACATGTGTAGAGTCATTGGTTAAAACAATTAATAACGAAAATTAAAATCATTATCTTTTAAAGTTGAATGAACAAGCAAAGATATCCTAAAAGTTTCAAGATCAAAATATAATAGACAGAATGTCAAAATATGATAGACTGAAAAGTGTTAAGAATGTAAATAGAATAATTCAATTCTTTCTTTCTTTCTTATTCTTCTTCTTCTTCTTCTTCTTTTTTTTTTTAGAACTGAATAATTCAATTCTAAAAGTTCATCAATATGGGATTTAAACGTAAAATGTAGAGTTGGATGGAAGAAATTAAATATATACAAAGGTTAACTTATAAGTTTTGTTCTAGGACCTTTTAAAAGTTGTGTCAATAATAAATCTTCAACTTAAAAAAGAGAAAAAAGTATAATAGATCTCTTGAATTTTCTATTTTTTTATCCAATAGATATTGAACTTTCGATATTTTACTTAATAAGTCTCTAAATTAAAAAAAATTGTCTAAGTCTGACTTATAAGACATTTTTAAAAAAATATATTTAATGACATATTAAACAAAATTGTTCGCACAAATTTTCAGAAAAGTTATATTTCATGGAGTTGAACTTTGATTTTCTTGTATGTTTCTATAATTGATTCAATCTCTAGTCTTTACCCTATGATCCTTTCAAACTTGATGTGAAGTTTATGAAGATTGAGATGCTATATGCTTCCAAAATTTTCAAAGTCTTCTATTCGAATACTCAAGTCTTAAGGGAGAGTCTTCAATTATTTGATGTATAAATTCTGAGAATTTATGGACCTTTTAAAATGTGGAAACCTTTATATTTATAGAGTTTTACAGAGGCTGGTGTGATTTTGGATCAAACTCATAGAATTTGACTCTATTTGAGTCATGAGCCCGATTTCATTTCGAAAGATATAGGCTTGAGTTATTTTGACGCAGCCTAATTCTTTGGATTTAGACTTATTTAAATATGAGATAATATCTTGGATAAGTAATTTTGTAAACTTATTCTCACAAATTTTCAATATTTACAAATTTTACAGGTTTAGATTTCTAAATTTAAATTTTTTTCCAAATACCAAATTTACTCTTATTTATGACATTTATATTTATTATAATTCTTCTTTTATTTAAATGCAAAAGATTAATATTCCAAATTTGATTTCTGGGACCTAAATCAATCCTTCTCATAGTCCCCTAATTTACTCTTTAATATATTCTACTAAAGAATGAAATTTATTACAAAATATTCAATTATTATCATAATCCCCAAATTTACTCCTTAATATATTCTACTAAATAATGAAATTTATTACAAATATTTTTTCATTTTATTACAATTTTTGACCAAATTTCAATAATATAGCCATTATCACATACACTTACATGGAAATATATATATATTTATATAGAGATATAAATTATAACCGACTACCTTTTCAGTTATATGGAAATATAAACTATATCCGAATATGAACTTAAGCAATATACACTTAACAATGGTGATATAAACTATAGTCACTATAACATACACTTATATGGATATATAATCTATATCTGGCTATAAAGTATATACGACTATATCTCTCTATAATTAACAAACAAAGCAAATAATCTACAAACCTTCCGGTCGGCGACTAGATAATGGTCGGGATAAATGGAGGATTCGAATGGTCGACGGGTGGCCGGCGACAAAAAAGAAACCTCGGGATAAACGGATGGAAACAATGGACGGACGGCCGAAGACGAAGGAGAAGCTAGACAGATTGTTCCGACGACGAAGAAGAACGGAGACGGCGGCCGGAGACGAAGGAATGGATGGAAATAGAACGACGGAAGAAGAAAAAAAGTTGGAGGAACGAGGTTTTCGAATTTTTTCAATAAAATGATATATTAATAAATTGGGTGATGGGTACCATCTAGGTTGTTTTATGACAAAAGTGTAAATTTTATACAATTCAGTCATTTTATGTAATTATAGTCTCTAAATAGTATATCAATGTACTAATCCCTTTAAATATCAATCCACGGTGTTATGGTAATTTGAATTTCGGGGCCAATACCATCCAATCGATTTGTGACATAAATTGATTTTGCGCCCAATTTTGTATAACCCAATTATACCGATTAAATCGAATTCAGATGGTCCAATTAAAGACACTTCTCATTATTTGAGAGTTTATTTTGTATTTTTAATTATAGTTTAGAGATAGTAAAATATAGTTTTGCTGACGTGATCATTTATGATTAGTCCAAAATTTATGGTTCTACGATAACATTTAGGTCGAGTTTGATAACTAGTTTCTTTTTTGTTTTTTAAAATTATACTTATAAGCACTACTTTTACTCACTTATTTGTATGTTTTACATCTACTCTTTGAATTAATATTTTCAAAATCTAAGCTAAATTTTGAAAAAAAAAAAGTAGTTTTTAAAATTTATTTTTATTTTCGAAATTTGACGAAAAATTCTAAGATGTCTTTAAAAAAAAGTACTAATATGTTAAATAAATCAAATAAATAATTTCTAAAAATAAAAAAAAAAATTTTAACTATCGTCGATTTGGCTAAAAATAGAAAACTAAACATGAAAGGAAGTTTGAAAAATGAGATAAAAGGGAAGCTATGATGGGACATGGATGACGCCATTCCATTGAAAATAATGTTACATTGAATTCCGTTTGCTGCCTAATTTAATTTATATATCAAAATCACCAATCATACCCAATTTTACAAAAATAAAATATATCATAAGAAACAAAAAGCGTTTTCAAATCTTGCGGCACCCAATCCAACAATCCATTATTTATCCTATCCAATATTTTAAATTTCTATCCATGTTGCTATTTTTTAATCGATATTTTTATATAGTCTAAATATTTACGAATCGATATTTTTACTATATCGTAAAAGAATCGATAACATATAAAAATATATATATTAATACAATATTTTTAATGTATTTATAATTATTTCAAGAACATCCATCAACATCGAAATTTCAATCATTGATATTTCTATAAAATTGAGATATTAACGATATTTCCATCGATCATTGCTTGAAACACAGGTTTGATATCTATAGCTTGGGAATGTTAAGTCCATGATAGGTTTGGAGGTGTTGTGATGCCCAGATTGAAACCTATGTTTGGGGTGTAGAAATGTATAGCATGAGATTGGGTAACATGTGTTTAGGTGTAGGAATGTGTAGCTTGAGTTATTTTATTTTATTTTTCATTTTTTTTAACTATTTATCCTTTTTCAATATTGGTATTATATTTTAAATTAGCTATAATTTATGTATTCCATAGCTTAATTTGCTTATTTTCTTTTATTCATCGACCATGGTGTATTCTAGAATTTAAATTCAATCAAACCGTTCACAATAAATTGGAATGAAGTTTCATATGTCATATAGCAAAATATTTAATTACAAAATATTTTGACTTGATCTACTTAGAAAAAATGCATTCTTTAGATTGTTTTTAAATGATTAAATTAAAAATAAAATTTCATACATTTATGATGTTTTAATATGACAGTTCGAAATTATCATACACATGCTTCTTGTTATTTTGCCAATGGTAAATTTTAAAATCAAAGAACTATTTTAATTTGGATGATTTATAATTTAATATTTGAAGATTGAGTATTTTTTTTGTAATTTTAATATGATAGATAAAAATTAAATATAGATGATTTATAATTAAATATTTGAAAATTGAGTATTTTTTGTAATTTTAATATGATAGATAAAATTAAGTGTATATATATATTTTTTAATAGGAATAAGGCTAAAATTAAACTAATATTCTTATATTAAAATTACTTATTAGATGTCAAAAAAGTTACTTATCAACATTTAAATATACATTTCGAACCTTTATTATTCATGGATTGGGTTGGGTTGATGTACTGTTTACACTAAATTCGATTGTTCATATTGTAAATTTATTCAACACAAACAACTCTTATTAAATAATAAATTCAACCCAATTCAACCATAGAATATTTGGGTTGCGTTAGTTTAGGTTATTAGGATCACTTATTCAAAGTATTTTATAATAAAAAAATAAATGATAATATATCGTCTATTCAAGATTTGTAAGTCGCTTTTTATTTATATGGTGAGAAGATACACTCAAAAAACTTTAAGAAGTTTTTTTTTAGTCATGGTAGAATAAATAATCTATACATAATTATTGAAGGAAACAAAGTTAAAATGAATATTACTGTATATAATTTTAAGGTACGTAAAATAAATGGTTCTACAATTACTAATAAATTTGGGTTGGTTCGGTTGAACCCAAACATATTTTAGTAAGTCTTGAAACCAATCAAAACCATAAAATTTTCATTTATTTGAACCAAATTCAATTCAAACAAGTTTATAACCCAACTCAAGTTTAGGTTGAATCGATCGTTTTTTCAAGGCAATTGGATTTTCAAACCCGACAAATGAATATAATAATTTTTTTAAAGAAAAATATAATATTATTATTTATAGTAAACAAGGATTTGGCTTATGATGCCAAATCCACCTCATTCCAATCTCATTCCCCAAACACTCCTAAATATCCCATTACAATTCGCCAAACTCCTCCTGATTTTTCTTTCGGAAAAAGAATACCCCAAAAAGTCCAACATACCCTTTTGATTTGACTCATCCAATTCCCTCCCCATTCAATTAACTAAAGAAAAATTAGTACCAACTTACCCTTATAATTCTATATTCTTAACGTGTTGAAAGTTCTATTGTATATGCTTTTCTTTTTCAAACTAGGTTATGAGTGGAGTGGCTATAGTCCCAAAAAGATGCATTTTTTTTCCATTTAAAATTGTATAGATGATTTGAGATTAATTTTGAGTTTGAATATAGTGTTTTTAGAATTGGAATAGCGATTTTTAGATCGAGTTTGTGCAAGAATCCTATCTCGGGGCTCCTGCCATAAATAGGTTAAAGAGTCTGTATTTAAAAGGTGGTTCGGTCAAGAATAGACAAATTTTGAATTTTCAAGGGTATGGGGACAACGAATAAATTCCATATATGAAACGAATGATTCATTAGAAATTTGACTTCATTGTGTGGAAGTAGATAAATTGAAGTAACAAATGAGGAGAAAATTTTCTTACTCCCACGGTAGGAATGAGAAAAAAAATAAAAAATAAATGAGAAATGCGAAATTAACAACATAAAAAACATAAGAATTTACGGGAAAATTTGAAAAAAACGTGATCCATTAGAGAAAAATCCACCATGTCAAAAATCTTACAATTACACACTATTCTATCTCCCAACCACAATTACAGAAAACCCTCTTTCAAATTTTATATTATTCATACAACTAAGGTTAATATACCAAACTTAAGAGTGTTTAATTGGAATGGATAAAAAATCCAGTCATCAACCCATTATATAAAACTCATATAAGACATCCTCTGTACCTTTCTAATGTGAGATTTTGCTCTTTTAATGTATTATTCTGGAAACCTAAGAAGGTGAAGGGAAGAGGAAAAATTGGTCACATAAGCAAACAAATAAATAAATAAATATATATATATATATATATATATATATATATATAATAATCAATAAAATTTGCTACTCCATTTGAAAATTTTATGTCAACAAAGTGTAGTCATCAATTTCCTCTCGAAGCATATAAGTGGCTAACACATCATTATCATCACTCGGTCGAAATTGCATTGGGTAGCAAAATTTTTATACATATTTACAAAAATATCAACCTCTTTTTATATTTTACAAATATGGTAAAATATTTGAATTTTTATTTTCAAATTTTTATTATTCAAAATTCATCCTTATGACATCTGATATACATTAGATATACGTATTATACATCTAATATATATGACGTACCTCTGATTTATTTTATACTAAATATTTTGTAATGGATATACTAGTATATCAAATGTTTAATTTTGGTGGTATATCAGCTGTTTAAATTGTAGTTTATCAATACTATTTGTTCTAATATTATCAATATTTTTTATTGTTATATCACTAATATTTAATCTATACTAATATCAATTAGATACTAGATATAAGAGATGTCAACTATTTAAATTTATAAAGTATATCATATTTATTTTCT